TCAAACGGACGTATCTTTGTGTTCGAGTATCCAATCGTCGCAAATTTTTTTTTGATTCCTCATAACTTTTTGAGATCTTGCAAGCCAAAGGTGGTTTGGTCCCGCCTTCATCCCAAAAAATGTCGTTTGCTACCCCGAACGAGCTTTTTTCCGATTTCGTCAAACTTTGGACAACCATAACTTTGTGCTCCAAAATCCAAACAACATGAATTTTTTTTTATTTCGCATAACTTTTTAAGGACTACAACTTTTATCATAGACACAATTTCAAAATATACGTGGATTGCTGAGAAGGGAAGGTAAGCTATTCCCAAAATCCTGTATATCCAAAAATAATTCCTGTTTTGAAAATTCATTCTAGTAAAAATTGTAGTCCTTAAAAAGTTATGCGAAATAAAAAAAAATTCATGTTGTTTGGATTTTGGAGCACAAAGTTATGGTTGTCCAAAGTTTGACGAAATCGGAAAAAAGCTCGTTCGGGTAGCAAACGACATTTTTTAGGACGAAGGCAATATCAAACCACCTTCGGCTTGCAAGATCTCAAAAAGTTATGCGGAATAAAAAAAAAACTTCGCGACGATCGGATACCCGAACACAAAGATACGTCCGTTTGAAGTTTCCACCTAGGTTAGGATTTTTCAAAAAAAAAAAAAAAAAAAGCAGATCGCACCCTGAGGGTGCGATCTGCAACCAAATCGCATGGTCGGGGTGCGGTCTGCCAAACCGCCCCCTGGGGGTGCGGTTTTCGCTTAAACCGCACTGGTAGGGAGCGGTTTTTCATAAAGGGTGCTATTTTTGGAATTTTTCGGAGTTGGGTGCTATTTTTGGAATTTTTTTTTTAAAATGTTATTTCTGGAAAAATCCCTAATATATCTATGACAAACTGACAAAGTAATGCTTGTGAATTATTGTTCTTGTTTGCTCATATTTAGGCTCACCTTCACTATAGAGTGCATTCTAAGTGTGATTGTATCCGAAATCCATGCTAAGTTAGCTATAAAGAGGGTGAGCATCTATGAGTAGAGATTATAATGAAGTCCATTAAGTAGCTCACTATCATTTGGTCCGCCATTTTATGAGCTCCCGTAACCATGTTTTTGGTGGCTTTCTGCCCTATTAGATGTGTATAATTGGCTCATTATCATGCAAGCTGATAGGGCAAAAGCGTAATGTATCAATCCTATCTCGTAGTAAACCGGAAAATCTGGGTATCGTTACTCAAGGACTGGTACAACATTTTATTCTATCAATTTATAGAGCAAACTATAGGTGAAAATGGTTTAATGAGACTAATTATCTAAAAGCAAAATAAACTAATTAAGCAAAGTAAAATGGTCGGGAGAAATTCAATGGAGAAAGCTCTGGGAGAAACATCGGGACTCGCTACCTATCATATCTAAATTAATTCACATATTCCAATCAGTTTAATCTATATCTCTACAGACAGGATATCACTACTATGCTAGCTATCCATGTCGGGAATTACTACGTACTAAACAATTAAATCAAATCCTACTGTCGTAGCTCAATGACTTAATTATTTAGCCTGAAGATCGATATCCTATTTAAGACCGCATAGCACCTTATTTAATCCACTGTCGCTTCGATAAGTTACTATGTCACATGAAATATGTTCAGTCATTAGGGTTTCACTGTCGCTAATAACCTAATTAACTACAAATCAATGTATTGGTGGCCAGTCAACACAAAACATTAAGTAAATCCATGCGATAGAGATTAGAAGAAAAGAAATACGAATTAATCCATCAAGCCAAGAAATAGCTACATCCTATGGTGTTTCCCCCAGAAAACGGGGTTTAGTTCATGACGAAACTGAGAAAAAACAATAGGGTTTTATTCATCATGTTCTAAATCAACAATAAACAACTAGTTCGGTCTAGAAAATCCAACCAAAATAATCGCTCTCGTTGAAATCAGCTCAAGCCGCCTTGAAAAGCTCGATCACCAATTGCCGCTCAATGGAATCCGCTCGTCCCAAGCCTTCCGCTGCCCTCGCTGCTTTTTTTCTTTCCCCAGAGATTTCGGGGTCGTTTGCTTCATGGATTTAAAAATGGGGGTTTTGTAATTTAAAAACCCAAGGATTTATCAAGGATTTGAGGCATCATGGATTTGTATCAATCCTTTGTTTGTTGGGATGTTTTAATCATGGATTTAAAGGTGTGGGATTTACTACTTGAATTCAAAAATTACATGACTGCCCTTTTCTATACGTTTGACATGTTTATAATATGTACACAAAACAAGGACACAACTTCAAAATTACCTTACTATCATTTTCTATATGTTTGACATGTTTATGATATGTACACAAAACAAGGACAATACATACTAATAAGCATAATGTTGCTACATGGACAATAATAATAAACGAGAAAATTCCGTTTTAACTTTTAACGTAACATAATCAATTACCAATTCTTTGTCCTCCTTTTCAAAAGTGACATATAACAACATATATTGGAATCGGGAGAACAAAAAATTACACGTTCCATGAAAAGGTCAAAGAAAACTAGAACACAAGAAATGATATAAAAAATCTAACTCATGTTTGCACATTAATCGAACATTTATATTATTCATTTATTGTTAATTATAATGTATAATAGTTAAATTTGAGGGCAACCTTGGAATATTAAAAGTGCATGAGGGTATATGGGTAAAATCTCATCAAGGATTTATGTCATATTCCAAATCCCACATCAACATGTGGGATTTATAAGTCTGTGGGGTCCACGGATTTGGACCATTAAAATCCGTGGGCCCCATGGATTTGGTCTCCAAAAAAGGTGCAAGCAAACAAAGGATTGTACCTAAATTCTTGATAGTTGGTTTTTTGGTACCAAATCCATGTACCAAATCCTTGAAGCAAACGACCCCTTCGTCTTTTTTTCCTCCAATAAAATCCCCCACCCCCACCCCCCACAACCGACTTGGCTTTTCCTCCCTTCCTTTAATTCCCTAGTTCCGTCCAAAAATAATCCCCTCCAAAAAATAGACACCTGGTCCCCTTTTCTCCTAGAGGCTGCCATAGTTCATCTATAAATGATTATGAGTCGTTCACAGGTGCTTGTTGGGCTGAGTTATAGCATGTAGATGTAGTAGGTCAAGATATTGCTACTGTTTATTGCGATTTAGACCAGACTACACATTAAAGAGATAAGTCGCTAACCAGATCAGATCGTAAGTTTGGTATCATGGTTTGGACCAAACCGTGCGATCAACTTTAAACCACGATTTTACATACGATTTGGTTTGAATTTACACCCATTACTCATAATATCATAGTTTAACTTTTAATCCACATTGAATGTCCATTTACTTCGATTTTTCCTTTATTAGTTGTGTTGACTTGGGTCGAGTATTCATTTTTCATCCCAACTCCAGTTATAGACAAGTACATTATTAAAGAGTCATTTGAAATTGGTGGCATATGTTAAGTCTATTTTAGCCCTCATACTATAAGAGAACACCTACATGCATTGTGTCATTAAAATAAAAGAATAACGAATTCTTAAAAAATACAGGTGTAATAGTACGGTCCAAATCGGAACAACCCTTGATAGCTGCACTCCAATATCAAAAGAAAATTTGAGGTCCAAATTGGACAATCAGTGATTTAGATCCATTTTGACGTGTCCAAATATCAACTCGTTCTATTTTTCTGTAATGTTTCAAAAATTTATAGAACTAAAAACTCGAACCAAACTATTATCGATTCGGTTCGGACCTATTCACTATCGATTTGATCGTGCGAATCTGAATGAACCAAACTGTTTTAGGCGGTACAAATATCACAAACAACCCCAACCTCTAACACTCTGTTTGGGAAGAGGGGTAAATGGGAGGGGGGGTGCAAATGTGAGGGGTAAACACAGTTTCCAACACATTTGCATCTGTTTGGTTAATTTGGAACAATAGGAGGGTGCAAAAACGGGAGTGCACATTTACTGTTTCGGCTTACCACCCAAATTGGGGTGCATGGGAAGGAAGGAAGAGAGGGGGAGAGGGGAGGGGGAAATTATGGAATTTTGTTTTTCTAATTGTGTTATATATAATTATATAATAATTAATATTATCAATTTTTTTATAAATATCATTAATGTAGACATTATTCGAGGTTGACCATTTGACTCCGGAAACAAGTTTATCAATGTTCGTCAAGTCAAATCTAGATCTCTTGGTTGACTCGAATTTGCATTGAAATTAGAGATACGAAGTGTTTGTGGAAAAGACAGAGAGAAATTGTTTGATTAACTTAGTTTATTTGACTAAATAGTTAAAACTTACAAATTCGAACGTGTTTGACTAAGTTTGACAATTTAAGACACGAAAACCATATATAGGATGACAAGTTATGAGTTGAGCTTCGAGTTTTGAGATTGCTCGATCAATGATTATTACAATTGTTATAATGAATTATCATTTGAGAATTATTATATAATAATTATTTTTATTAAATTATTATTATATAATAATATTTATTTTATTATTTTGTGATAAGATTTTATAATTTTAATAAATTTATTTATAATAATATAATTACTTATTTTTCACTCTATTTGCACCCCTATTTTTTCATCCAAAAAACAATTTACGTCTTCACTTACACCTCCAGCCATTTACACTCCCAATAATTTACCATTTAATTTGCACTTGCCTTGTAAACAAAAGGAATTAGTGGTGGCAACGCGCTAGAAAAGGCGAGTCAAAGTGGAAGGAGCATCAGAATCAATGATTGGTGTTTATCCAATGCAGAGAGGGCCTCGTCGTTAACTAATAATTTAACGTCACTAACCAGTCCAAAACTCCCACGCCACCAAGAATCTCCACGTATCTACTGACTACTGTGCTGAGGTGGCTCACCCACTCTATCCCCACGGACGCCACCTTTTAAATTAATACTATAATAATAATGTGTTTGAAATTGAAAGAAAAAAAAAGGAATATGAATGCAATCTAGTTCTTTTTTTTTTATAGAAAAAATTCTAATAATTATATTTGTATACAATTTGAAACGCAGCGACATAGTTAGGTCGGGTCCAATCACAAATCAGATCAGATAATACCCGACGAAACGGATCCAAATTGTCATGACTAATTACATCCAACAACAAACCACTTAAAAGGGATGCCTATGGGAAATCTTACCCACCCGAGCAAAATTTATCCACTTGTGTGATAATATATTCGGTGGGCCAGGCCACGGTCCAAGACGAACTCGAGGTAGGCCCATGGAGTCAACACTCCAGGACAAGGCCCAGTAGGGCTCACAGATGCAGTCTTCTGAGAGCACGCGTCACCGTTTCAGCGGGTAAACTGAAGTGGCTGTGTGCAAACGCAAAGCGGCAACGTGGATCGTTGATACATGAAATAAAAGCTGTGTAATGTTTTTCGCCTGGTTCCACGTGGAATACAATCCGTGGACATTCCACAGATTGTTGCGATGATCTAGGAAGAAATGCTGGCTCATTTTGTCACTGTAAATTAGTTATATTCTAGTTAGAACTTCATGATTTTTTGTTTTTTTTACAGAAAGATTGATCGTACCTTAATGCATCAAGGTCGATTTGCACCGGCTCCCTAAAGCTAAAAGGCTTTGGCTGTGTAGCTAAGTGAACTCTTTTAGGCATCCCTTGCGCATTTTCCTCCGAGCCTTCTGTAAGCATACTAGCCTCCTGTATAAAAGATAGAGTGTACAAATTGAAAGATCGAAAATTAGATCTAGAACATTATTTAAGTTATCTGGAAGTGAAATTATTGCCAGCGAACGAGTGAGTGACCCAATAAGTTCCGGAATTATATTTTCTAGATACTGCTTAGACCTTAATTTGCAAGTTCACTCTAAAAATTGAGAGATGAAAGATCCTATCGCGGCGACAGCACCCCCGCCAAGGCCAAGTCGTTGAGCCTTGAGACATACCGTCTGATCTATATTCCTGTGTTAATTTGAGACATTCAAAAAGCGCTTTTGTTTCAACTTCAGTCGAAGTAGAGCAAAGTACTGTATCAGCTCACCCATCACATGTACACCACAACACTAATGAAATTGTCGGCTGGGAGTCGGCTATAAACGATGGGAGGAGCATAAGAACGAAAATGAGGGAAGAAGCTTTCTTGTGAGTAAGAAGAAAAACTGCATTTGAAAAGCAAAGAAATGACAACAAATAAGACAGTTGCGCAGGAGCCAACAACTTGACTCCTGCCATGAAGTATTAGATCCCCCTAGCTTTTCTGATCTGTTACCACTCATGAAAACTGTGCAACCTTTTGGTTTCTGGTTAGAACATCAGATCATACGTAAGAACTATGCATCCAAAACGCCATCGTTTTCTGACATATAAACAGCAGTGGCGTACCTAGTTAGGGGTAAGCGTAGCATTACATGTTACAGACTGTACATTATCAGTCTCTGGTCTGCAAGTATCTTATACTTAGCTCCCAGTCCCTAGCCAACTCTTATGATCTTCTGTTGCCCAAAAGCGACACCGACAAAATGGCCTAGCTGCCTGGGAACTGAGAGAGGGACTCACTTGTAAGTACTGAAACTGAAAGCTGGACCGCGAATCGGAGAATATAACGCGAAGCCAGACTTGTTATTCTTATTGCTTGGACTTCTTGGGTTTCTTCCTCCTCTTCGCTGAAGGCATGGATCCCGCCTTCTTTCGTTTCTTTGATTGATATTCTTCCTTTTCCGAGCCTTCTTCATCTACTAGTGTTTCTTCTGGAGGGACCAGAATTTCCAGTGCCCAATTCATAGCATATAGACACATTTTCTTCACCTGTACCAATCCAAAACCGAAAGACATTTTTGCTAACGATGAGATAAGGGTCGATTGCATGAGAAGCTTGGAATGTATCGTAATAGTTAGCTGTTATTCGCAGTATTTCAAGAAAAGCAACAAAGAGAGTGGAAAGGGAGATGACAACAGCACCTGCAACTTGTCTTCCTTAGACTGGTGGTTCAGTGGAAGAAGACGGAACTCCTCCGTCAGACGAATGCACTCTCCAACGTTTTCAGGGGAGACAAAATGGGATGCTACCTGGATGCACGACTGAAACACGAGCGTATCAATCGGGTTGGTACAAGAGTTGTTTTAGACATTTAACAATGCGCAGAGCTTATTCAATGAAATATATCCATTTCAAAATGGTAGCATGATGTGCTGTTCAGTGACAACACAAACTCTCTACCCGTGCCAACAATCACAAAAATCCCAAACATAAACTCATTACTGAAACAGCTTTTGCCGTTTACCTTCAAATTTCTCACTTGATAAGGACAGCCAGCAGGGATAAAGACGGCATCACCAAGTTTCTGGATGAAAGTCCATGGTTCAACACCTGTTAGATAATGCAGAAGCACATAAGCAAAAAAGCTAAGTGTATGAAGTACAATAGGCAAAAAAAAAAAAAAAAAAGTTCGATAGCAAAAAGAAGGAAGACCAACCATATTCTTTCTTCAGCTTCCTTTTATGCTCCTCGGTCAAATAAAAGGTTTCATCATGTATGGGATGGATGACCTGCACCACCAAAACCCAAATTACAGATTTGTTTTTACCAAAGGCCACTAAATCAATCAAGAAACACCACCCTGTAGTAAGCTTCACAATCGAATGCAAAAATAAAACCTCAGGCAATGGGGAGCAATGAATGTGCCTAAATTCCTTGAAATGCTTGAGAAGATATTCCTGCAGTTTGGGAACATCTTCTCTTCGAAAGATGTCCCATAGAGCACCTCCCCCTACTAAACTATTTGGCAACTCGCCACACTTGGTTCTTTCTAATTTGGTCTCGGAACTGCTTGAAGCTTCAACACCACACTCATTCCTTTCCACTCCCGTCTCTGAACTATTAAGCGCACCACGAGACTTGGTCCTTTCGACATGCATCTCCAAATTGTTCAGTTTTGATTCCTCAGGACAATGATTTTTCACTCTAGATTCCGAACTGTTGGACCCTTCATCGCACTTGGTCCTTTCCACTTGGCCCTCCGAAGAGTTCAATTCCGATTCCTCAGAATAAGTATTCTCATACGGAATTTCGTGGTTAACTTTATTGTTGCCATCATTCTCAGTTTCGTCTATGACATTCAAAGCTTTGCCAATACATAATAATTCTCTTCTGTTGTGCTCAAAGTGCTTCTTTTTCAATGCATTTATTGTAGCAAGTTTGAAGCTTTTATAGGCAGTCTCTTCTGTGTGTGCCAAAATATTTACCTGAAACAAGCATGCTCCAATCAAAGACTAGAATCACAAATCAATGATAGATATAGCAAAGATCTTCCAGAACGGATTCCATTTTAGACGTCAGAAACCATGGCAACAATCAGACAGAGCAATGATGGATGACTAAAAATTAGAATAGCAACAAACGAAGCACTCAAGTTCAACACTGTGCTATGTCCATGCCACGTTTGAGTCACTTCATGGTATCAACTAGTAATCACCTCATGCAAAAAAACATTTCAAGCACAATTTTTTTAACACAAATAATATCACCTTACGCTGTCAAATTTGAATAGCCATAATGTCATAAACAAGAAAAGTACCGCATCAGACATGTTGCAGTGGAGCTTCGTCACAGAATCTCCACGGCCAAGCTCTTGGGGAAACCCATAAGCTATATATGTCTTTGGCCCCATCTCTGGCTTCAAACTATTCTTAGGAAGTTTGGCTGCAAGATTCAGAGGCCCATCCGCAAGATGAGTGTACTCCTTAATGGGCAAACAACAGGTGTACTCAGCACCATGTCGTGGCAAGCGTTCATGGAACATAGCAGACGGTGGCCAGTCATTTAACTTCATTATCCGAGGCCACCCCATAGAATCAAATTCCCCCTTGGAATATCCTTCAAAGAACTTGTGAACCTTAATATCCACCTGCGTGTTCAGATAAAACCTGTTTTGGTTAATCATGACAGAGAAAACAAAACCAGACTATTGCACACATATAAAAAGCTATGCAGTAAAGTTACAGATGATCAGATTTACAAGCAAGCACAAAGAGCGCACCTCACACCAGTCCAAACAATCAAGCGTCTTCAGCTCCAAGAATGTGTCATAATTTTCATTTTTTATTTGGCGGAAAGCACGCCACATGACCATAGGCTCCCAGCTTAGGCCAGATCCAGTTTCAAGCACATTGCTAACAAGTACGGGTTCAGCCTTCATCCAATGTTGGCGAAAATGCTCAAATCCTTCTTCTGTCAAATCATTAGCATTTGGATAGAACAAGTAATTATCACTTGATCCTTCACGGGATGAAGCCTTCATTAACCTATCGTGTTTCACTTCAGGATCCCCGCTAGAATTACAGCAGGCACATTGACCACTGGAAGAAGGGCTAGCCAAATCAATCTCGAGTCCTTTAACAGCACTGTCTGCTCTCTCCACCAGCTTGGAAACCCAATTACCAGAAAACAGAGTTTGGAGTTTTAAAGTGCCAGAACCACAGGCACAAGCAATGGCACCATCACTATTTGCTTTCCAGGAAGTTTTTGGTTTCGGAGCAAGAGGTTCCTCCGAACATACCTCACCAGGCACTATAACATGACGTGCATTTCTACGCATACTATCATCGCATGCACAACCGTGTAAGTAGTCAAATCCTCTATCAATGTATTTTATATCCACACTTGGCACATTGCCACGAAGATTATCATCACGGATCTCACGGCAGCAGGAAAGGCAAATATTAGATTCACATTCCAAACAATGTCTATGGTAGTCGAAAATAGTAGTCTTGCAGATGTCACTTCAACCAAAGAAAACAAGAGAATATTTTATGAATCCAGCATGAAACAGTAAGGAATTTCAGAGCCAGAATGACTAGTACCAGTAGATGATGCGCTTGTTTGCAGACCATTCAGCTTTTTCTGCATATAAATCTTCAATTGGCACCCCTAAAATGGTTTTTAAGAGGCACAGTAACTGAACAATTTACGAGATGAATCACTCTCACAACACAGTAGAAGAAAGTAACCAAAGAGGAGACAAAAAAAAAAAAAAACTCTTTCCCATACTCACCAATTCACTGCAAGCCCTACCTCCAGGGAAGGGCAGGAGTATGGGCCAATGAGAGGGAAGAAAAAGGGTTTGAGCACCTAATCTTAATATAAACAAAGTAAAACAAAGTACCTAGGATTCCTGCATCAATCTTGCTCTCCATTAACTGCTCCTCGTCTATTTGCTTCAAGAAAGGCAAAATTGATTGTAAGATGAATTCAGCATGTCGTCTGCTTTCATCTACAGTAAGTTCCAGTTTCAACAGTGACCACAGGTCCTGCACAAGATAGCGACACAGTAACAATGGAAATTATATCTCACAGAGCCTTCAAATATGAAATTCAGTAAACAAAATCAAGTGATATGCCGGACAGCGGAAGAGCTTGGACCTCTACTTGGAGATCCCTACGCAAGCAAGCTTTACAATTGCAGTTGTTACAGCAAAAAGGACAGGCAGCTGCAACCTCTTCATGCGTCAACTTAGGGTACCTAGTTTGACCGACACCATAAACCATAGCCAGCAAAACTATCATCCAATATATACTGGATTCAAATCCTTATTTAGGAGGCAAGTCTAAAGAAGAATTCCAGAATCCAGCCCAAGTAATCGAACAGTAGAAATGCATGTTTCCCTTAAACATCCTAAAGCTACTACCGTGAAGCTAATCTTAACCAGAAAGAGTAACTTAAAACAACAAGCAGAAATAAACTTTTGAGAAACTTTACCAATTTGATAAGCAAGGGAAGCAGTATCTCTTGGTTTTACATTTGCTGCAGCGAACAACGCCACCTTTATCATTCCTTTGGCATTGATGGCACATCATACAGTAGTTCTGGGTAAACTGGTAAGGCAGAGTCAATCACACTCAGTACAGCATCAAGGTTTCGAAAAACAAGCTTGAACGAGAAAGCAGCTAATAGCAGGCAACAAAGGAAAGCCAATCCAGATCATTCAAACCCATACCTCACGATTCCTCGCACAATCTAGATCTCCATACACTTTCTTCCATAGAGGACGAACTTCCCGAGTTTTAGAGGCCTTTCCAGCCTTCGTATAACTCCTCTCCCGCGGTTTTTTCTTAAATGAAACCTCAATTTCTTCCAACCCCTTCCTCCCCCTTCTCCTATAAACCTTCAAACTACTCTCCTCAGCTTCCTCTTTTCCCCCATCCACAGTCTCTTTCACTCCCTCGCCGCCACTCCCACATGCTCCTTCCACGGTCTCGATCTCGTTCTCGCCGCCTTGATCGATTGCCATCGTATCACTCTCCTTCTCCTCATGATTCCGATCTCCACCAGCGCATTCCGCTGTTCCAGAGGCCTTCCTAGCCCTAATGCCGCTCGTCTCCCCTTGTCTAAACTCACCTGGAACCTCATCTTCATCGACAATCAAGTTGGACTCCACGGAGCATGCTGGCTGCCTATACCGTCTGCTGCGACCTTCTTTCGCCGGAGATCCTGTCTCGGAACTCTCTCGCCGTCGATTTCCCACATAGCATTTCGTGCCCGGTTTCGCCATCAACTGTTCCTCTCTCGCACTCCTGCTCAGAAGCTTCTTCTACCAGAACCAACCGCTTTCTACTTGTTAACACACAACGGCGACGAAATCGTTCGTTCTGAAGTTATCAGTCGTCTTCTTAACATCATGATTCCTCCTCGCTAAGCTACTCCGTGTGAACGGCTTCTACCAGAACCAATCGTTTGTGGTCGTGACATTTTGCAATCTTCCAGACAATAAGCAAGAGGACTGAAAACATAACTACTTTACTCGCCGGGAGAAACGGTACGATTGCTGGGACAAAACGAGAGAACTGAAAAGTCAATACTCAATTCCCATTTTGACTCTTCCACGGTATCATTTGACCGTCTGGAGGACTTGAGAAATAGATAAATAAAATTGACCACTCCCGCATCCATATCAATAAAATTGAATTTGTGTTTTTCGTTACCACCTCAATATTTTGTAATCCAAGTCATATTACTTTCATTATACCACATCAATACAATTAAATTGTAATTGCAATTCATTTTTAATTTAGTTTTAACATAAACACTTAAATAAAAAATTTAACGAATACTTTAATAATAATAAAAGATGACGTGACTTGCATTCCATAATTGCATTATATACAAGCTTGCAAAAGATGCAATTGTCATCTACATCAATGCAATTTCATAAACGAGCCGAGCTCGAGCTTGCATATTAAAGCTCGTGACGAACACAAGCCGAGCTCGAGCCTGAAAATATATTAACGAGCCGAGCCCGAACTATTGCAAAGCTCGGCTCGATTCCGCTCATTAACAGCCCTAGCCCTGCCTTAACTAGTGGTATGCAATGGAATGGTTCATACTGTAACGCATCAGACCAAATCGACGTTTGGACCTAATAACACCAAATTGAATATAACAGTAATGATCATTAGTTTCACGTATTTTATAAACCGAAGAAAATGGATCGAATTGACATTTGAACAAGAACGACCAACCGAAATGCAAAAGTGAAGTCAAGCCTACTTTTCAAAAGGCCAACCGAAATGCATCAAATCAAGCCTACTCTTCAAAGGCCACGTAACCTTCTTTGATCGCACCCAGGTTCCACTGCTTTTCATCATTCATAATCTAGTGACTACGTCCGACGTTCATGGAGATGGAATCCAGGGGTCATCCGGCTCCAACACGGAGAGCTTCTCCAGCGTGGCACAAACTCACCCAATTCCACAACCATTTGAGACTCCTTTTAGAAGCGGATCGAAAGAAAGCCTGAACGGTAACGTAAAAGACCCTTCAAGAGCTGAAACCCAGAACCGATCATCCTCATGAAGAACCTTACTTTTCTTTCACCCTACTTGCAAAAACTGTAATTATTGGGAGTTTCCAGCTGTAAGTGTGAAACTAATTAGGTTGTCACCTGATCAAAACAAAATCAAATAGGTTCTTATTGCTGCACTATGTAATGAGAACGGAGAAAACTCACACCACAGCTAAGAAAAAGGTCCAAACAAGTGGGGGCATAGAGGTCACGTAACAGCAGCAGTAGCGTGAATTGGAATAACTGAATAGGTGAATGAATAATAAACGCGTACGGATACGACATACAGAGCAGGCAGCAAAACTCCAAGTGCAAGCTAAGCTTGTTTCCTTAATATGCCATTTAAAACACTATCCTAAGCTGCAATTTTCTTTTTTCTCCACATATTCTTCTTCCACTAAAAGGGATTCTCTCATATTTCTTTTTCTGGCCAGGTACCCATCTGCACTTTTGCCTTCCTACCTTGTAGATTTTCCGACCTTTTTAGCTACAGATCCTGAGGCGTATCCAACATAGGTAATCTAACTACCCCTCCCAACTCTTAACTTTCGATTAAGTCCCATGAACAGTGAAAAGGCCAAGCTAGACACAAAGTGCTAAAGGGAAGAAAACATGCACCTCGTCTTAGGGCTATATGCTTATCTTTCTAATCTAGTTTAATCTTATACTAGTATTAACTACTAAGCATCCCCTAAAGCCTTCAGATTTGAACTCTGCAACATACAACAGAACCTTTTCTCTCATATACTTTTCCCTTCCTTTTGCTGCACCTTTGTCTTGCTTGCTGAACCTTTCCTCATTTCTCAAGTTTTCTGGTATTCTCTTCCCCCTCCTTCCAAATTCTCCTCCTTTTCATCTATTATCTACCATCCAAGGAAGCTCTGATTCTTTTCTCAGTTTTATTGTACATAACATATGCAAGCATGATATTTAAGCTCTTCTTCGCCTCAACGCCATTGGCCCTTCTCCTAACTTCTTCATCATTCTTCTTGTTAACTAACAAGGATATCAGAAACTCACCTCAAAGAAAGCAGCAGGTCTGCCACATGGGTTTTTGGCTTGTTCAATCTTCTGTCATCACTCTGCTGTATCTGCTCCTAATGTCAGGTGGGAGATACTTTCATCCACCACTGGGTTTAAATGTTTCTGGTTCCTGACATCATCCATAATCGAATTTGCATATGTCAGATTATAGGAAATTATAGGTTAGATTTCTTTTCTTTCATTTATTGAAAAGGAAGAGTTAGAACTTATCTTATTTCTTGGTTTTCTCAGGAGCTAGTGTTGCAGAGCCGCCACCCCTAGAAGCAATCGAGGAAACCGACCTACTAGAGAATCAAGAATACCAGCACCAACTGTTCTCATCCTCTTCCCTGTCCACCAGCCATCTAGACTCAACTGGAGGGGATGTTCCTATCGTCAACCCAACAAGTCCAGGAACAGGAGGAGGTGGAGTTGGCGTTCCCATCGTCAACCCAACAAGTCCTGGTACGACGCCATATGGGAATCCCACCGACTCTCCGCCAACAACGCCCTTTGGCAATCCTACAGACTCACCTCCAACACCAACTACGATCCCCACCACAACGCCTCCAGCCCCTCCTATGTCAGGAAACCAGCAACCCACAGCTCCAACAGGACCAGGAGGAGGAGGAGGTGGTGGTGGTGGTGGAGGAGGAGGAGGAGGAGGAGGAGGGGGGCAGTGGTGTATAGCGAGCCCGTCTGCTTCAGAAACTGCATTGCAGGTGGCACTTGATTATGCTTGCGGTTATGGAGGAGCAGACTGCTCGGCAATTCAGTCGGGAGCGAGTTGTTACAACCCAAACACTCTCAGAGATCATGCTTCTTATGCCTTTAATGACTACTACCAGAAGAATCCATCTCCTACCAGCTGCGCTTTTGGTGGAGCTGCACAACTCACTAGCACTGACCCAAGTAAGAACACAATTCTCCTTTTCACAGTATCTCAGTTCAGAATTCATTCCATTCAACAATGTGAATCAAGAGTAGAAGTGTGGCAAATGTCAATCCAAACCAACCAACCCCAACCCAAGCCACCCACTTAAAATCTGTCCGACCCAAACATCAAATCGATCGGATTGGTGGGTAAGTGGGTTGGGCGGATGGGTTTCTGCAAAAGTGCTGTGTAGTACCAAAAAATTTCACCTAAATTTCATATATTTGCATGAGGTTACATCAAAACTACAATTACTAGCCAAGTATTTTGAGTCTGAAATTTCAATATATAAACCTTTAAAGAGTTTACAAACCGGTCCAAGGTAAAATCTACTTTGCCAATTCAGTCCTGATAATGGAAAATTACTTTGGTACTCTTTTTTTTTTAGCTATCAACGAACTAATCCACCTATCGCCTCAAAATTTGATACCCAAACTGCTAAAACTTCAACCAATAGATAACCGATATTCCCTCCAAACCACATCAAATTTTTCAAGAGAATGCCAGTAAGGCAGTAACACACCAACCTACGAATCCATTTAGCCCCAACCCACCAACCAAACCCATTTGCTACCTCTAATCAATATTCTATGCTATGAATATTCATGATCATGAAGTTTCTGATTTCATCCGTTCCATAAAATAAACCCAGCTTGTTAGCACTTCTTGCATACTTTCTTGGCGAATACTACATATGCTCGAGACTCATGCTTGATTCCCTATTTGCACATGTGAAGGTAACGGGAGCTGTCGCTTTTCATCATCCAAGGGCCAGCCCAGGTAATATTCAATCCATGTGAAAGAGACCTTAGATAATATGCAAAGAAAGAACTCATAAATACCATTTGTATCTGCAGCATGAGTCCTCCAGCGAATCCACCGCCAACATTTATGCCCCCAACTACTATGAGTCCGCCAACAACGACGATGCCTGGTACTGGAGGGCCACCAGCAGGGTTCGGAGGGCCACCAGGAGGATTCGGTGGGCCACCAACAACATTCGGTGTAGCAGAGCCAACAGGTCTTCCCAGCACTGCAACCTCCTTTCCATCAAACCTATTGATCCACTTTTCAGTAACTGGCATTCTTGGGTCTTTCATCCTCACAAACCATCTGTGAAAGCTTCAAGAAGTCTCTGAATACTCCCACCTTCGGTTGGCATTTTATTTGCCTGTGATGGTTCATCAAATTTGGAAGCAAAGCAAGGAAGAAACAAGAAAACCAGGATTCATCGCCTGGAAATTATTTATAATGTCTCCAATCTAAGATTGTTAGTCAATGACAGGAAAGAAGGGAGATTATGAGGAAAGCAATAGAACATTGTAGCTACTTATACTTATAGATACAGAGCTCCTAGTGCTAGAATAATAAAATTTATCCAAGCTGGGATGTTTAGAATTGCTTGTCATTAGCTAGACCAATAGTAGATATGTGAAAGACAGCTGAAAAATTAAAAAACATAATCGTTCTGTAGTGCGCTCAAGATACTTGGACATAATGGATTGCCTACACAGGGGACCATGGTGCTAACCAACTTCATACTAACTCACTAAATTAACATAAACATACACATAAATTTGTCATGACTGTAACATCAAGCCATGAAATAATAAATACAGCAAACTGAGATGGAGGGAATAGATAACATACAAAGAAAGCGGGCACTTATTGTATTGAAGAAAGAACATCCACATGACCTGATTGAAAATATAAAGCTTACTATTTTCTTCCCCATTCATTATATATTCAATTCCTACATATTCAAGAAGCATGTTGCAGAGATCACAACCTGTAACAGGCCAAACAAGATTAGAGAAACGTCTCTTCCCTTGACCATAAACCTTATTTAGGAACTGAGACAAACAAATATCATATGAACTAGTGATGTATACGGAGTTCAGAGCATGAGTAAGCACGAGGCAACTGCAATACAGATGGTAGCTACAGTGGCCACAATTGAACCTTGCTCAAACGATTTCTGCATGTTGCCTCCTCGTGAAAAATGCTCGAAAGCCAGGTAAGCTGCAATTGCCAAACTAATAATAGCACCTTCTTGTGTTCCTCTGTCATTTTCAAGACGAAACAAATCATACAAAATAAGCTGATGAACAAAGTGAAAGATAAACAGTTGCTTTTGGTCTGTTGCATTCAACATCCACTCACCTTAGGTTCAGAACCTGGTAAGGAGCTAATATGACCAAGAGCAAAGCCATAAATGGCAACTCTAATTCACCTGCAAAAACAGATAGGACACAGGTAACTCTATAGTTAGAGATATGTTCCCACCTGCAGAAGATTAACCTTGGACAAACTTGCCTAAGCTTATGCACAATCCAAGTTATCTAACAACTGAGCTGAGACATACCGGGAATAAAGAAGAAGAGGCGTACGAGAAGCGCCATAAATGCAGCCCACACACCATATTCACCCCTGCAATCCACCAACAACTGTGAATTTTCATCCTAAACAAAAAGCAACAGACATAATCAATTGGCATGAACACAAAACCTGAACCGTCGAGCTTGCGTAACTTACTTAACCCAAGAGACCACAGCAGTAGGCGCCTGTAACGCAAGGAGGGGAACGAGAAGGCATTTGTTGACAGCCGTACCCTTGGAAAGCATCAGCACTCTGGGTGGGGGGAAACGTCCAATTAGGATTTTCCACGACGCTCAAGCAAAACAGGGCGAGAAACCGAAACCGTACCAAACAGAGAATAGACTCGAGAGAGGAGGGAGGCGATCGAATTCGTACATGGAAGCAATGGTGGAGATCCACTGGAGGTTGCGAGCAGTACTGACCGGCACCGCAGAGCAAACGGTGCTTGTCTTCTTCCTCCCTTCCACCGTCTTGTTCCTCAAAATAGCTTCGTCATTGCTCTTGATTCCGAAACTGCCACACACACAAAAAACGCGACGAGACTCTCAGAAATTCAGACTCAATTTTCACCTCACATAGCAATCAATCAACGGAAACAAAGTTCGGCGGTGCAATTTCAACCTGAGAGGATTGTAGCTGAGCGAGCTGGAGAAGCGAGGAGTTGTCCAAGACAGGTTGGAGCAGCGCAAACGGCGTTGTTCGAGAGCCAGAAATCGCTGCTGCGACTGGTTCTTCGCGAGAACGTAGCGGTTATGGAGACAGAAGCTCAGCGGCTTCGACGATATGCTGCCGAGACTCATTTCTTCTGGCTTGGGAAGACGGCAAGGCGGGAAATGGATCGGCCGGCGGAGGTAGCGCGCGCGGGAGAGTGAGAAGGAACGATATTATGGAGACAAAAAGAGGAACGACTGCCTAGCTTAGCTTTTCATATGGAGATTTTGGCAGTAGTAACAGAAACATACATAATGATAATAGTGCTGGAGATCTTCTCTGGCGCCGCTTCTGGAGGAATCCATTTCCTTCTGCAACATTTCTCCACACACACAACGGGACGAATACCACGGACTTGGCTCCGTAGCGTGAGAAATTATTGGGTACTCCCGGAGTACCACTTCACCCTGTCTACGTGGTACTCCCGATCACTAATTGCCGGCCATCTGTCATGTTCAGCGTCATTATTGATAACTACTTATATTTATTCCATTTTTTACCATTTACTTTCTCTTTCCTCTTTTAATTGTTTCCCATAATTAATGCCTTAATGGCGCCTCTCTTTTTCTGAATGGAAACAACTCTCTTTCTTATTTCCTTTTCTCTTTCCCCGTAAACAACCCATCTTCATCAACCGGAGGTCTTGGGAAAAAACATAAGAAAACAATCAAAGCTTCAAAGTGCCCAGAAGTGTATGATAGGTACTGTGGATTTCTCAGGAAGTTTTTGAAAGACATGTTTGCTTGTTAACAGGATTGAAAAACAGAGGCTACATAGTGGGATTAATTAATCGAAGCTCTGGAACTAGATTAATCAACTCAATTCTAGATTTCCAGCGAGATTAAGACCCGCACTACTAATCCAGTTTAGAATTAAAACTCAACCTAGAGCTTTCACTAGCTGATTCCAAAATAAGAATCGTCTCCAAGAAAGTTATGAACTTCTCCTGTTCTAGTACCTACAATTTTTTGGAAACACGTAATCTGAAAACTAGCTAAAAATCCCAGAAACTCGAATTGCTTAAGAACTAAATCTGGAACGGATTTGGACTGGAAGCTGGAGCAATCAAGCTCGAATGAGATAAAAATAAAATAGAGCTTCTTTTTGCTAGAAAAGAAAGAGAAAGAAAATGGGGTAGGAGAGATACTGTTAAAATTTAGTATGGAAAGAAGACAAAGACTTCTTATTTTGGCAGGAAGGAAGAAGAGAAGATGGAAGACCGAAGACCGGAAGAGAAATAAAAGCAAATAAAATATGCTAAATATCAACACTAATCAATATTAATAATAAACTTGACAGATGGCCGGCAATTAGTGGTCGGGAGTACCACGTAGACTGGGTGACGTGGTACTCCAGGAGTACCCAATAATTTCTCCCGTAGCGTTGCTTACGGCTGAAAATTTTCGGGCAGTTTTTAGAGCAAACGTGTGACTGGTTCAAGTTCCCAAGTCCGATCATCATAAATAAATAAATAAATAAATAAATAATTACAAAAAGGCCCAACGTGTATCGAATCGACGAATTGAGGGACAAAATTGAGAATATTACCACATTATCGAAATTTTCCCTACAACTTTTTTTGGGTAAAAGGATTGACGACATCGCGTCTAATTCATATTAATACTAATAGAACGACTATGGACAATGCCTATTACATTATAAAGTAACCATCGCCCCAAACCCGGATCACACACATTGAATCGATGTGTGCCAAAATTAACAAAATGACATCTATTAGCTAAGAAAGTCAGCAGCAAAGTTTGCTTCCCTATACACATGATCGATTCTAACCTCCCAATCGAGGTTCAAAAGGACATAGAACTGTCTAGCAAGGATCCCATGGCGATGATCGTCGTCCAAGTAATTCCTGGCAATAGTAATGGCAGTAGTAGAATCCAAGTTAAGTTGAACTTTCATGTGTCCTCTCCCCCAAACAATCCACAAGCCCTCAATAGCGCCTTTCAACTCAGCACTGGTGATGGAGCATGCTCCAAGATTGCAGATGAAAGCATCACTGCATCTTCCAAGGTGATCTCTTAGGAGCCCCCTGCTACTGCTCTTCCTGATTGTGGATTGACTGATCCATCCCATTTCAGGTGGCTTGGTTTCTAAGGAATAGCTTCCATATGATGTTGTTGTCCTGGTTCACAGAACACCCTATCATTCCTTGTTCTGCTTGTTTGATGGTGTTGAGCCAACCATCAATTCTACACCGTACACTTTGCTCATTGTAGACTTTTCCATCCAAAACTTCCTTATTTCTCTTCTTCCAAAAGTTCCAACAGATGACTCCAAAGTCAATCCCTTTCTCCTCAAGTAGCAGATTCGAAAGCACCCACTCATGGAATGGAATAATAGCATTAGTAGCAGCAAGCTTGTGACGAAACCTATCCCAAACAGCCTTTGCTTTCACACAGTTTCGCAGGATATGCTCCATTGTTTCTTCAGTATCTTTGCAGTAAGTACAGTTGCTATTGGTGGCCATCTTCCTTCTTACACGTTCCTTGTTGGTGAAGAGTCTGCCGTGCAGCACAAGCCATAGAAAATGTTTGACCCTGCTGGGTCCTTTCCATCTCCATAGAGCTTTCCAGGTGCCCTCCTCCGCGCCTTCATCCTCAGTGTTTGCAATAAGGTTGTAGACAAACTTCAGTTGGAATCTCTCGTCTTGCTCCAGGCCCCAAATCATCTTGTCCTCCCCCAGTTCAGGTCTCGGTTTCTCCATTCTTGCAATAAGAAGAAGTTTTTCATCAGGGAGAAGGTTGATAGACCGTTATTTACACATGTTTTTACCCCTGTTCTTACACCGTTTGAGATGTGATTTCTCGTGTTTTAGGCCGATTTCACGCTAGGTTGTGCTTGTTTGTCATATTTCAGGTCCTAGTACGTGAATGAAGGCTTAGGAGCGATTCTGGGGTCAATTGGACGAAGAACAGACGAATGGCGAGGTTTTTGGGAGCTGCACGGGCAGACCAGAGGGGCTGCACGGCCGTGCACGGTTGCAATCTGGCCGTGCGCCTCATGCCGAGGAGCTGCACGGGCAGGCCCTGAAGATTGCACGGCCGTGCACCTGGCCGTGCAAGAAGCCTGAGTTCAATTAAGGGATACGCTGCGTTTCATGGTGCACGGCCAGACTGGTGAGGTGCACGGCCGTGCACCCTGGCCGTGCAACTCGGGAAACCCGGTTTTAAAGCCTAATCCGAGCCAGAAGTGGGAGGACAGTGTTTTCAGAGCAAAAACAGAGCCCTAGAGAGAGAAAGTACGAAGAACACATCCTAGAAGCTGTCTTAGAGCTGGATTTCATCGAATCGAGCCTGGAGATCGTCATAGGAGTGAAAATCATCGTCCCGGAGCAGATTATCCTCATCGTTATGAGTATGACTAATCCGATTCTTGTTTTCTCTTCTCTCTCTATGGAGTAGAACCCTTCTCTCACTTGGGGATGAAGAACCCTAGTTCTATGTGTTAGGGATTGATTGTAATGACTTGGGATGATACTACTGTTTGATTTTAATCGAATGATGCATGTTTCATGAATTGATTTGAGTCTGATCAGCTTGTCTCAATTTCTGCTTCAACCTGAGATAGATAGAATCTGATTAGGTTGTTAGAGCCTCTTCATTCGATATTAGGAGGTTGGCTATACGAGAGTTAGCCAGTTTACTGCTTTGTACTGGTGTTCTTGGCGCCAGTAGTGGAGTTCTGTGTTCATAGCCTCAGCTTTCTATCCCGGTGAAGACTAGTCGTCTGCCGGGTAGTTAGACTGAGAGGGCTTGGTCAGCTTAAGAGATTCCAAGCTACTGCCGGATCTTCCGCAGTCTAATCAACAGTAAATCAACCCAGGGAATTGCAATTGAACCTAACTAAGGAGCTAGGGGGATTCATTCCCGAGTGACTCTTTCCTGCTTAAGAAAACCGAATAATTTCCTGCTTTATTTCTGCTTTTAGTTTAAACAACAATCACTTACTCTAGTTGGCTAGATAACAGAGAATCACTGAGTAAGCAGTAGATCTAGACCCCGGGTTGATAATATAACTTGCCTGTTACTGCATTCCCGGTCTGCGATTGCACTTGGTCGCAGATTGGTGTTGTGTTTTGGCGTGTCAAGTTTTTGGCGCCGTTGCCGGGGACCCTCTAGGTTATTGGGGAAACGTGAGAATTTGTTACTCTAGCTTTTATTTTCTGCTTTTTATTTCTTCCACCTGTGTACCTTCACGGGTTGTTTCTGCTGATTGTGTGCAGGTAGTGCATGACCCGTAGCCAGTCGGGAGATCTACTACCACTAGACCAGGAGCTTGAACGAACCTGCAGAAACTTCAAGCGGGCTCTAAAGGCGCGACTGGCTGCGGAGGAGGCGCTATCACAGCTGCAGTTAGAGGAGGAAGAAGAAGAGATGGCTGAACCAGGGAACCATGATATGATCCCTGAGGAGCAAACCATGGGATCCTACTGGACCGCTAGAGCTGCGGACATGAGGTCACCCATTCAGCATCCTCATGTCCCAGCCAACAATTTTGAGGTGAGCACCTCAGTAATCACCATGCTGCGCGGTTCAGTGGTGTTCCGTGGTAAGGAGGGAGAGTGCCCTCGATCACATCTCAGGCGATTCCACGAGCTCATCGATGGAATCAAGATCAATGGGGTACCAGCAGATGCCATCCAGCTGAGGTACTTCCCATTCACTCTGGAGGGGCAGGCCAAGGAGTGGCTAGACACTCGATCTCCGGGCTCCATCACCACGTTCGCCAACCTGGCGGACAAGTTCCTCACCCGCTACCATCCTCCATCCAAGACAGCTGACCTGCAGAAGCAAATTACACATTTTGCTCAGGATGAGGATGAGACCATCAGGGATGCATGGGAGAGGTACAACAGTCTTTTCCTCAGGTGTCCCAATCATGGTTTCAACGATGCGTTCAAGGTGGGCACCTTCTATCACGCCCTCTTCCCGGAGGACAAGCAGCTGATCGATTCGGTTTGTGGCGGGAACATGCTGACCAAAACCCCGCCACAGCTGAATCAACTCTTTGAAGAGATGGCGGAGAATGGTTATGATTGGGGCACTGCCAGGAGATCGAGGAGAGCACCAGGCCGGGGTGTGCATGCTGTGGGCACCCAGTCATCCGATTTGGTGCAGGTAGTATCGAAGCTGGTCTCAGCTATCGATCGTTCCGGGATGATTCCAGGGACCGGACAGCAGCAGGCGATGCTCTGCCAGTGGTGCGAGAGCACCCATCATATGTTGGAAGACTGCCAGGCGATGAAGGAATCGACCACGCCCCAGGAGCAGGTGAACTTCATCAACAATGTCAGGCGCAATGACCCCTACAGCAACACGTACAATGAGGGGTGGCGCCAGCATCCTAACTTCTCCTGGACTGGGCCAAATCCCAGACCACCAGCTCCACAGGGACCACCGGGCTTCCGGAGGCCACCATATCAGCCCAGACAGGGGCAATTCCAGCAGCCAGGTGCAGCCCCTGCTGCCCCAGTGCAGAATGATCAGATGGCTGAACTGCGGGACTTGGTGGGTTCTCTTGCCAGTGTTAGTGCTCAGAAATTCAACACCTTTGAGCAATTCATGGAGAAGGCCTCGGGTCAACTCCTGGCTCTGGAAGCTGGGCAGAGGAATACACGGGCTGTTTTGCAGGATATCCAGACCCAGCTGGGGAGCGTGGCCCAGGCAGTGGCTCAAAGGGCTCCTGGTACTCTACCAGGGCAGACCATCCCTCACCCGCCGACCCCGAATGAGCGCTGCAATGCCATCATGACCAGGAGTGGCAAGATGACTGTTGATCCCCCTGCTCGGGAACCGGAGAAAGAAAGCCCTGTCTTAGCGGCTCCAGCGGTTGAACAGGAAGTAGAGAAGGAAGTTGAGGTGCCTGCACCTAAACCGCAACCAGTAGTGAAGGAGTATGTCCCTAAACTCCCTTTCCCTACTCGGTTGCACAAAGACAGGCTGGAGGCAGAGTTCGAGAACTTCATGGCCATGCTTAAGAAGCTGAATGTCCAAGTGCCCTTCCTGGAGGCACTATCGCAAATGCCAAAGTATGCGAAGTTTCTGAAAGAGCTTCTCTCAAAGAAGCAGAAGCTGAGTGAGCTGGCCACGGTAGAGCTCAGCGAGGAATGCTCGGCTATTCTGCAAAACAAGCTTCCGCAGAAGAAGGACCCAGGTAGTTTTACTATCCCGTGCTCTATTGATAAATTGCATGTAGAGAAGTCCTTGGCGGATTTAGGTGCTAGTATCAACGTTATTCCATATAAATTGTTCATGAAACTAGGCCTAGGTGAACCCCGTGCTACTAGGATGACCCTTCAATTAGCTGACAGATCTGTAGTGCATCCTAGGGGTATAGTGGAAGACCTTCTGGTTAAGGTTGGCAAATTCACATATCCCGTGGATTTTGTTATCTTGGACATCAGTGAGGACACAGAAGTGCCTCTTATACTGGGAAGGCCTTTCCTGGCCACCGCCAAGGCTCTCATAGATGTGCATGATGGGACCTTAGTTTTGAGGGATGGCGAGGAGCGAATAACGTTTTCTGTTGCTGATAATATACCTGCTTCGTCACCTCTGCATGCTGTATCTCACCAGGAGCACGAGTCTGTCGTGTATCCTTCTGTGCTGCCTATTTTGCAGGAACCGCCTCCCACACCTTCGCCGCCACTCCGGACCACTCCGTCACCCAAAGAACAGATCAAGGAGGAGTGGCGGCCGAAACTGCCGACAGCTAAGCCTGCTCGAAAGGAAGCCGGAGACCACTATGAGCTGGTCCCGCCCCCCCCTTGGCCATCCGAGTATTCACTCGCTTGCATCCTACCGGATGGCCAAGTTGAGCTGGCGAATGCAGGTGGCCACATTCGTCGCGTGCATGGCCACCATTTGAAGCTGTACCTCAAGAGCGATGTGGATCCGCTCTTGAAGGCACCTGATCCTACACTTCCCTGAGCATCCATACTGGCGTCCAGCTAAAAGACGGTAAAGAAGCGCTTGTGGGGAGGCAACCCCACCGAGGTTTGCATTTTCTTACTCTTTTTCCTTTGATTTTGTGTGTTTTTGAGTCTTGAGACGTTGATCCAGAGTTACGTGTCGTTTTTGAGCAAAAACAGGTTGATTTCGGGACTCCAACAAGTCGCACGGCCAGGACCACAACTTGCACGGCCGTGCGGGAACCCCCCTTGGCCGTGCGAGCTCTCGGCCAAAAGCGCACGGCCAAAAGCGCTTATTGCACGGCCGTGCGCTCGTCCTGGCCTGCCCGTGCGTCTTGCACGGGCAACATGATGCCTCGCATGGCCGTGCGGGTATCCCCCCTTGGCCGTGCGAGCTCTCGGTAAGGATGGCACGGCCATATGTGCCAGGTGCACGGTCGTGCGCTCCTCCTCGGCCAGGCCGTGTCGGTTGCACGGGCAAAAACCAGCCTTGCACGGCCGTGCGCCCCTGCCCGTGCAGCCGAGGCACGGCCTATTTAAATGGCCTGCACGGCCATTGTGGTCAGAAACCAAAACCACTCGCCGGAATCCTCTGCCCTCGCCAGAAAACCGCGCAAAACCCACCTTTTTTCCATTTTTTCGGCCACTTTGGGTAATTTTTTCACCAAACCAACTACAAACCCACTCTTTCTACACCCAAAGCGGCCTATCCCTCGATTTTGAGCGAGTTTGGGCGACGTTTTCGTCGCCGGAGGCGATTTCCGGCGAGACTCCGGCGAGACTCCGACGAGCATTTCCGGCCAGTTTTTCGGCGTTTCGTCACTTCCATTGTCTTCCCCTCATCATTCCCTACACCTCTACTTGAGTCTCCAGGTTTGATTGTGCCCCTAACTATGTTAATTGTGGAGAATTGAGTGTGTAGGGTGTATGTTAGAGAACCTTATTGAATCATGTGAATCTTATGAAATTGATTGAGGGGAATGCATGGGATGTGATTGAATTATGTTGGGCAAAGTCCCCTTTGATTGTTTAAGCCCTTGTGTGCAAGAATTTGGCCAATTTCATGTTTAACTTAGTAGTGCACACAAGGTGTTCGCTGAAATGCCTGTTTTCCATGCCCGGTTGTGGCCACCGGTTGGGGCCCTTAATGATGTAGTTTGAGGGTGTATTTGCTATGGA